TTTTGTCCAAGTATTCTTCACTAGCATTGATGCACATTTTCATACCCTCAAGCCACTTGATGAAACACCCGACCTTGGCGAAGCGGAAAACCCTTCGATCCACTCAATGAAGGTTTCCACTGCAGCTGTTAGTGACTCGTATCGGATTCCACATATCATGTGATTGACATTTGTGAACACAAAGTGAAGTACAATGAAAAACAATTCACGAAGCCGGGTTTGCACTATAGAGGCGGTGACCAAATTCTTTGTTGAGGTTATTAGCCAAAACATCGTCCTGAAACTTGGGATCTTTTCATGCTGCAGCAAGGTAGTCTCGTGCTCAAATCCTTGGACGATGCCTAAAAACAGCTTCCAGTACTTTCGGCAGACCGGGGGTGGCGTACCAGTCTTCGGTGACTGCGCTTTTCTGTAAGAGCGGTACAGTAGCCGCATGACCGGTTCTGTCCATGAACGCAGATAGCAACTGCTTTTCCACATCGAGCTTGCGTCACAAAAAAACCATTACTCGTCGCATTGTTTAGTAAATATGATTTCTTTCTAGCACGCTAGTAGAAATACAAACTGTTCTGGCCACTGTAGATTTCACTCTAGTGTGAAACGCCACCGGTTCCCAAATGGGATTGCTACTACTGAGGCGAAACCGGTTTACATATCAGTACCTTTCAAAATGAGAAACAAATGCTGACATGGTGCGACGTAAACTAAGAACGGTTGTAGAAGAAGCATTCCCGGCAGTCAAACTGAGCATCTTCAGGTCACTTTGATGTTTTCAAATCAAAGATAAATTGCCTGTTTCTTCAAGCTCTTTTTATGTATATTTATTTACCTGTTCCCGTGAGATGGGGTATACTGTCAACACGAACAGACATTTGTCTGAACTAGTCCGTGGGAACCACCCGGCCTAGGCGAATAGGGAAGTACTATCAACATGTGGTTAACGTGGTTGAGGCTTTCGACCTCTATAGTTCGTTCACAATCATTGCTCTAAGAGGATTAGCAGTTGCATTCTGGCAGCAATGGAAGCGATCGAAATACATCTTCATAACCATCTCCCTATGCTCCCAAAACAATTTGTAAGAACACTGCACCTTCCGTGGCCGGCAGCATCCATGACATAGCCATCCCCCACCCACCCCTTATGACCCGAACCAATGCGCGTGTGTGACGACCAAAGTGTGAGCAAAATCAAGTCATGGAACTGGAATGTTGATTATATATTTTCCAACTTGTCATGATTGCTCCACTCCACTATAAAGTTTGATATAAATTGTGATGCATTAGTCTGTAGAATAATCACTGCAAATGAGCTGGTTCGCTACAATGTTGTTTCCTAAAATGTGCGAATATTTGTATATTCCGACAATTTCATTCTCTCATGGGTGCGTATCCTAATATTGACGTATTGCACGTGATCTCAAACCGAAGGAGAACTTCTGGGGTTTGTTGATCACTCAGATATCGGTGATTACTCTTCCCTTGCTGGGCTAAAGACTGTTTGGAATGAAAAGCCAGAAAATATCGGCATCACAGCTTGTAGCGCCGATCTGCACCATACAAAATCTGCTCATTGCTGGTCAGGATCAGATGAGATGGATTACAGTCCATTGCCGTGCTTTTCTATTGTTCGGAAGTTCGTTTGATGTCAATAGTGAGACGTGAGGGCATTTCTTCTTGGTATGCATAAAGAAGATGGAACGCGAAAGCGGTTCTTTTGTAAATCGACAGTATGTTGGTTTTCGGGACATTGTCAATGACAAATGAATTTAAATTTGTGGAATTTCACCTTCGATTTGCTACTACTCGTGAGTAGTGCTGTGGGATTGGTATGAATATTGGTTTTGCTCAACCCTCCAGCACACCGTTCTCGTGAAATCTGCTGTCCAGCGATTCTTTCACTTTGGATGCACCAGCTCGAATTTCACTTCTAATGGAGTTCGGTATTGATGCATGCCCCCCCCCCCGGCCGTCATTATCTAATTTTACACCAGCGGGCCAATCGCTGCGGTGATTGATTGATCAGAGTTGATGAATTTCGTCGTGTTAGGAGGAAATGAAACGCGAGCGGAAAATCTAGGAAGCACTGTGCTTGCTTTTTTAACTAGGCTGGGTTTCATTAGCAGTGATAATTTATAAACCCAAATGGGGATCAAACCAGGAACTTCACAGATTAGAACTCAAACACACTACGGACTTGATCGTCGGGAAGCTGATTAGACGATTTTCTCATTTTGTCTATTCATGATTGCGCACAAGATATTACTCATCTTAGTACTAGCCTCTTAGGTTATGACTAGCCTAGAAACATTTGGAATCAGTATTATGAGAGCAAACTACGGCATACATCGGACCGAAGATAATTCACTCACTGGTAGGGATGTCTTCACCAATATAAGTGGAGTATGTTATTCAACGCATTCCTTCCTTTTAAACGTATTTGACGGGCTTAAAATTTGTTCCGTTTTCCTCATAAAGATTAATGACTCTAGTCTTTAACATCCAGCTAAAGAAGAAATCAACTCGCTCCAGTAATGATGCAATCTGCCTGATAGGAAACACTTGTGCATTTTTCTGAGGCCTCAGTATTCAGCATCTTCAATATTTTCACATGAGACACGAACATGGTACATATTACTGACAAGTCCCAATCAAAACAAAACTGAGGCTTGCTGCTCTTTTCGACCTCCCCGCTACACAATGGAATTTCTTTTTCATCCTAAAATGCATTGAAATATGGGAAAACAATGAACTCCAAATGTGTGGGACACGTAGAAGGTCACATTTTCAACAGACCCCGGGGTCTTGGAATTCTTATGAAAATGCAATAAAAAAACAACTTGATCAATTAAAAATTATTGATACTACTGAATTCAAATGACATTGGTCACCGTGGTGCATAAGAGCGTTATCAGTTAAGTCAAAGTACCGTATGGATTTCAATCGCTCATTTATGGCGCTAACTGTCTCGTTTAAAGTCAGTAAACTGTCAAAGAACGGGGCATCAAAGTGACTACCAGTTTCAAGAGATTTATTCATGGCAAATCTGAAGACTGATGAATTGAAAGAAAAAAAATATTTATTCTAATAAATATTCTTATACGACAGGATTTGAATAGATGGTTTGAACTCTGAACAGGAATAAATACCAAAAAGATTCGATTCCGCACACACGAACATAAAAGTTACGGAATTAGAAACAGATGAACGACTACTATTTGGAAAACGTGATGGATGTATCAATTCTTGGGTGTATCGTAAAATCCATGAAGTAAACATTACACGAATCATCACGATTCGCCTGCTGTTCTTTGTCCCTTACGTGCTCAGAAAACGTGGCCACCCAGACATCTTCATCCAACCAAAGTTGATGGAGCATATACCCCAGGTGAAGTTGCCACGAATTCATAAGGAAATTGGAGGAGGAGGTAAAATCCACAGTCAACATCGCGCACTTATGCTGGTCTTTCAAGAGTCCAACACTGATATCTGAACGAAACTAAGATCAACTACTGATGATGACCACCTCAATTGTTGTTTACCCGTTCAGCTGCACCCGTGATGTATTTGATTCAGTCGTACACCAGTTATCTATCGGCGTGAACTAAAACCCTCCACGGTGGTTGAGTCAAGGTGCTTCCGGAGCTATCTCAAGTCCGATTCTCACCCATTGGCAGAAGCCGTCCATAGTGTTGACAGAAATGAATCATTCCGTATTATTCACCAATTTCTCCGAACCGGTCTGAATATGTTACGTGGACCTTAGTGTAGCCTATCTGCAATAAACACTTTACCCCGGAACTGTGCCCACGAGCGTCTAATACAAGCCCTCTATCTCCCCTAGGTTCACGAACCCACTCCTCTTCCCCGGCCCAAATACACAATAATTTCACACACAAACAACGATCCCATGGGAACTGGGTTACACGACCAACATGACAACTGAAAACCCAAAAGGGAAAGATCCGAGGATGTGATGTGCAACATGCACACAAAGCAATCGACTCTTCGGGTTTTAACGTAATTCATCCAAACCGTATACAAAGTGTAACAGCAGGATTGTGAATCATCGAAAACAACTGTTTTTCTAAAGTTGTTCTAGCTGTGACTGTGAACACATTTCAAAATTTAGTGAATGAAAAATCATGAATGCGTTTTGCAAGGCAATCCTAACTGTTCTGTCACGAAGCCATAATAGCCTTGACAAGAAAAGAATAGAAAACGATATGCACAAAGTGTTTGATTTTCACTATTACATCGTATCCCACTCAGACGGTCACATGCTCGCAAACACAAACAATGATGCACTATCCGACAATTTGTCAATTAATCTGATAGAGGGAGAGGAAGATACACCCTTGTAGGATGAGTACACACGCACACAGGATGAAACAAAGCCATTGATGTTTGATCTTATCACGTATTTCTGAGTAGATCTCCGTGTGCACGTTTCTCCCGCGTATGTTTTTTAGTGAGTTATGCTAACGGACGGCTTTCTTTGCATACCGGTATAAGGACTGGCTACCTGTGTCCGATCTAAACATAGACAACATCATCACTTCGTCATTGTGTGCTTATTTACTCACTGAAATGAGACACAACAGTTGTGTGTTGTAATAACAATAACTGATTTGTCATGCAGTACCACAATACAAACCTGTTTCGATACAAACCGGACAACAATAATTGGTTTTCCCCTATTGATGCGTGGTCCTCATTTTATCAATATAACATCGTAGGACTCCGGACTCCCTGTTCAACCAGTCTAAACCTCGTTTTCAGTATTCCACGACTGAAAACGGTCTAGGGCTATTCCGTACTTCAGTTAACGTAGTCTGTTAAATTTAGAAAAAGAATGCATTCAAAGAGTTCCTATTGGTGCTCTTCAATCGACCAATATACTTCCACGAAATTCGGATATTACAGTTACATTAAAATTGTAATCAAGTGAGATGAAAACCGTTTCAAGAGATACTATCTTTAACCCGCACCGAGTGAGCACAATGTACGTAAAGGATGATATCCCACAGCTTGCCATTGTGAAAGGTGTTGTGATCTGGTTCGTCGCTGTGGTTGGTCTGTTGGCAAATGTGATCGGTTTTATCCTAATGTTTCAAGTGGAAATAAACTTTCCCGCCACACGATTGTTACTGCGTCATCAGTTTGTTTGTGATGCCGTAGGTTGTGTTGTCGTTTTGGCCTACTGGATCTCGTTCTATATAGACGTTCCACTTGCCTTGTTACAAGGTACTGCATTTGCAGCCCTCTGGTCCAGTTATTATACGTTCTGGTTTGTGGTTGTTCTCAGTTCCGCAACGCTAGCCATGCTTTCATTGGATCGATTCTGGGCGGTGGTTTTGTTCCGCACTTATCCACGCGATTCGAAATATTACACCACATTTCTGATGGTGGCTATATGGACTTACACAGTTCTAGTCACTTCACCCACTGCCATTATTGCCTACTACACACGTAATCCCCCGAATTATTCCATTATTTTGATCAGTCGCGTACATGCGGTCTTTGTTCTCGTGTTTGCTTATCTCACACCGGGGATCATTATTTGTCTACTTCAAGTAAAGGTGATCATGGTTTTACGAAAATTGAGAAAAATAAACGGACCCGACAAGAACAATTACGGCAGAAAGCAGTCGACTACTGACGGGGTGGACTCGAATGTGAATGCTATTTCAATCGGAATCATTGCAATGATAGTGACGTATTTTGCGAGCAAACTGTACGTTCACTTTGAGATTTGTCTATCCTACTTCAACGTAATGGAAATGCATTTCATAAAGGGATGGCAATACTATGGAGTCGTCCCATTTTCCATCAATTTTTGTGTCGATCCGCTTGCATTGATTTTCACCTCACCTGCTTGTCGTCAATGGTTGCGTCAGAGAGCGAGATCGTTCACTGGACAGTTACGGCTATTGTGTGCAAAGTGTAGAAGACAAAAATGAAGGGATCTCGCGCTGTCATTATTCATTTCCANCTTGTACCCAGTTTTCATTTTGTTGCGTGTCGTGCAAAAATAAAACTTAGTAGAAAAACGTTCTTTTTTGTGTTCACACGATTCCGATGTCTCCCTACTCTTACACTGGAATATACCAGAGACGGTCACACGATTTGGGTTAAACCGATATAAATATTTCAGTTATGTGAGGGGATGTTCACTTTCACTTTTTTGACGACCACGCGCTCAAATAGGCTACAAAGTCCAGATTCAGATTTAGCCCAATGTCTATTTTACAGATATTTCGCTCACCATCCCCGCCTTGCATTCTGTTCTCTCATTGCCTTCCGTTTAACTCAGGAATGATTTTGCCCTCGTTCGACTCACTGAATTGAGGTTTACATTCCCGATTCCCAGCTACTTTACCATACCGTATGCAATGACCAAACTTGGCATCTTCCATAATGTGACGAAAAATAATTCTTATGGGGATTTAAGTGCAACAGATATCTTAGACAACCTGTTTGGTTGACTGAAATATCAAACACCTGTTGACAATTCTCTGGTAAAGACACTCCTGTGGTTTCACTGATCGTCTTTCCTAGCAGAAAAACACACCTAAAAAACACACTGTCACTTGAAACCGTCTGTATTGGGGTGCCTGTTTATTTGGTTATCCTTTATTCCAATTAGATAATCCGAAAATATTAATGCAACAGACCAAATCATCCAGAATCAACCTGAGAATCACCATACTTAAATAAACTGCATTCGGGTGCTTTATCATTTTGTGGTCAGCACTGAAAACGGTTATCAAAAGGTAAATATTCGTATTTGGCCGAATCACTTCCGCTAGAAATGACCACACTCGCTTTAAATGGTTTAGTCTTTGACATGATCTGAGGAAGATACTTAATAATCTATGTCCTGACCACTTGCAGACACTTTCCCCAGCTCCGAAAGGTGATACCCTGAACGTAAAGTTTTCGAATGCTTGCTTCTGCTCAGATGAATGGAGACGAGGTCAAATTGAGTGAATACAGCTCGCAAATGGGAATGGAGATCAACCGAGCATCCTTAATGACAATAAGATTGTTTGCTTGCTTCTCGGAGCATTTTAGAGATTTGTAAACACAGGCGGTGGTGGCCCGATGGAACGTCACCAAAGGATCATTCCCGGGATGGGTGTTTGAATCCCACCACTACTGCCTGACTTTCCCCATTGTGAATTGAATGGCAGCCCTTTGATTGGATGCTTCACCTTCCTGAAATTTGTATAGTTAATTAGTGGAAGTAAATTGAAAAAGAAGGGAAAAAAGTTCTAGGCGGTTAGATAGTGTCTGATTTATCACGATGGATGTGTAAGTTGGAAAGTGATAAACTTGGCCTAGCTCGTTCAAGAGTGAGTTCAAAGCCGTGATACGGAAGTCACATGTTTGGCAGGGTTGGTTGGGATTGCACCTGTGACGGTTGCATTTACAGTAATTCAGTGTTATTTCATGTGCAGCTGCCTGGATTTTTACCGCTTCACTTCTCTATTGCGTGGTTCCTCATTCTGTTCTCATTGGAACCCATTGTGGAGGCTTTGTTTATATCCATTGTCGCATCACTGGCAAACTGTGCGGGACAATTCCCAGGGTTGTCTTATTGCTTCGCAACCTGTGCTGGCATTCAAGCTTCACGGTTCAGGCTCATCCTCAGGAGCAGTGGACCGTAAGTGACATTTCCAATTGACGTCACACTGTCACACCGTTGTTATCGCTAGGCAACTGAACTATAAATGATCTGCTCCTCGTGCTATATGTGCGTTCAGAGTGTTCACAGACCAAAGGATCTTCTTATTAGGGCTAAATTATGTCTCACTTTACGTTTATTGCTATGGGAACCCATATAGTGCATCAGCTTTTTTTGTTCAACTCAGTTTATACCTCTATGTGGCTCAGAGATGTGTTAGCAGATTGAGCCACCACAAGAAAATCCACAGCCCTACAAAAACCAAGAGGCTATAGGTAGTACGTGAAACACATGGATTGTAGCCGAGCGGACAACGAAAAAGGATGAGCAAGGATGAAACAGATGAAGACCTGTGAGAAATCGATTATAAGGGAGGTCACGAGGTTACCTAGCTGTAACTAATCACGTGCATCACACACACTGTATAATCACACACACTGTGTACAATCACACACACATGGTTAATACTAACTAGATTTCTTAATTCGCTTCATTTGTCTATCCTGTTCGATGTTATACTACGCGACCGATGAGAGTATACGAAAGGAACTCCTCTCGCAGTGTTTGCTTCTGAATTTCCAGTCGTATATTTCTCTGACTGAAGAACAATAACCAAACTTAACAGAAAGAATTTTCAGTAAATATGTTCATGAAAATATGCTAATAAAAAGAGAACCTCACCGAAAATGTGCGTTTCTTTTAGATTTTACTGAAAAATTTAGGTGTATTGGATATCCTTGTGCGTGACGTTTAGCTTTTCGTCCGAAGTTTTGAATGTTATGTGTCCACACACAGATAAGCCTGCGTGGTATCCGATGCAATTGAAAAGATTACCAATGGACCACGAAATGTGATGATTCTTTATACAAATGATAGATTGTGCAAAATTTTCTCCTCGTAATTCCTCTTATAGTTTTGAGAACTCCATCTTTTTCGCAGAATACATAAAGCGTAACGCAATCGTTAAATTGTTGAACAGTGCGTTGGAGAAATATTGCAAATGTTTAGCTACTTTTAAAGCGTTAACTCTCAAGGGGGAATTGATAGAAAAAATGCCAGTGAGATTAGCTTCGAAGCCGATTTCCCACATCAAAATCACACATGGGTTAAATTCATTAGCATTAATTAGCTTTAATCATAAAGCGTTTATTATGTTTATCTAGTTCCTTTTATTTTAACGTAGAATCGTAAACTCACATTTGACTTACTTCGATATTATCTCGAAAGGCTCAACCCCTTAACACAGTTTACCTTCGTGCAGTAATTCAATTTGCAAGATCAGTATCGGAAAATCACCAGTTTCACAGTATTTATTCGGTGAATGATAAATCGCTGTCATTCTGCTTACCTCTGAAATATGTTTGAATAACGCGGTGCACCAATAGTAGGTAGTCCGAAAAGATGCATTTGTCCACATAGGTTTGACTGCACTGTTTAGAATAATCACAAAAGTGTGCTCGAACGTCTGTGAAGGGCATCCTATGAAATGGTTAAAGGGCTTTCATTTAAGACTTGCACTAGATAGGGGAAATGATTAAACACTATTCATTTTATTACCATGTAATTCTGGATAACAAATTGTCTAATATTGCACTGACTATATCACTTGCGTTGTTTAGACTGCAAAACATGGTTAACAAGTGGTCATTGAATGAAACTCCATGTGAAGCTGGTAGAATCATCTAGAATGCTGACATAACTCCTTTGGAATCACATTAAGGAGTACTTCTCTCCTTTCGAAGTTGATTAAACTGGATCAGTTGATTTGTCCAGGTTAAGATTTACAGGTATATTGGGGCTCTAATGTTTCCAACATCCTTAGGTGAAGATGGATTGAATTTAATCTCTTCGCAGAGCAAATCTCGATGGATTTGAGTGGCATCCGTTTTTATAGCATTTACGTTTCCTTTTTGTTATTTGCGTTCATTACCCGTATTTCGCTGAAAGGTGTTGAAGAAATGGTGAACAGTAAAAGTCAATTTTACCGTGAGGTGATGCTTGTTCAAAGCGTCACCCAATTGTAGTAGCGATGATTAAGAAAAATTGATTTGCTAAGGTTGACAATTATCAGAATAAAATAAGTGGGAACTGAAGAGCGGGGCAGCAATGTGCATCTGTTTTTACCATGTCGGTTCTCGTCAACCGTGCAAGTACTTCAGTTATCTCATGGAACAAATAGTTAGCTTCGGGATGGTTCCAGCCAAGTCATAACCCTACAGACTAGTTCAGTTCAGTTCAGTTTGAACAACCATTACACCATGCACTTTCGTGCGCCGGTTTTGGTTGCTGTCTTTTGGCTGCCCATTTGGATGAAGAATAGGAGAAGAAGAGGAAAGTTGAAAGTGGAGTCGAAAGGAAAATGGAGAAGTTCCGTGGACTAAGGTTGGGAAGAAATTGAGGAGATGCACTCAAAAAGAAAAAGGGAGAAGTTCAGTGGTCTAAGGTTAGAAAGAAATTGAGGAGATACACGAACACCACTGTTTACGACATCCAGCCATATCGCTCAGTGTCTCTAACCATCGGTTACGATCATC